ATGTAAGGGGCACTGCACCAACCATCATACGCCTCTCATAAGCCTCCCACCAAGTGAAGGCAACTCTAGTGAACTGAAAAGTAGTGAACGAGACCCCGCTAGTCTCCAAAATACCTGTTATACGGAGAATCCTCTAATATATGTCCAAGAAACCCTGGGCATCCTCGCCCTATGCACCGCTGAAAGTCGAAGGCTGAAGTCTATCAAACCTCTCCAATCTAAGCTGCTCATCATCAGGCATGACAAGAACCACATAGTCCTGAGCAGCTGAAACCGGTTGGGCTGCTGGTTCCCCCGGTGTCCGGAGTCTCTGTACCACCTGCTCGGGTGTGCGGGCGGCGGGAGTCTAAGCACCTCCCCCGACCTGAGAAGTGGTTTTTGCGGCCGGAACAGAGACCTCCTGATCAAGACTGGTACACACTGTCAATATCTGAGAAAAGGCCTCATAAAGGCCGAGAATCACAATAGGGACAGCTGGTTCCTGAGCTGGTCCCACTGGCACATCCACAACTGGACCTGATCCTGAAATGGTGCAACTGGTGGATCTGCAGGTGCCGCCCTAGCTGATGTGCGGGCTGCACCTCTGACCCTACCACGGCCTCTACCGCAACCTTGGCCTCTTGCAGCCCCAACTGGTGGTACTGGGGGCTATCCGTCTTGCCCGGTAGCATGTGTCCTCACCATCTGTAAGAGAATAGAATAACATAAGTTTAGTTACCAGAATCAACATATTCGCTCGACAAGAATTCAAGAATGTGAAGTTTCCTGAGGGTTCTACAATTTCTCGAAGATAAGTACAGACATCTCCATAGCGATCCGCAAGACTACTAAACTAGCTTATGACTCGTGAGACCTATATAACCTAGTATTTGATACCAACTTATCACGACCCAAAATCTATCATCGTGATGGCGCCTATCGTGGAACTAGGACAGACTCAACCTAACAACCCATCACAGTAACAATAAGTTTGAAAATATAAATGGACACATTTAACATTTAAAGAAAAATGTTTGAAAACCTAAGAAATCCCAAATTACGATACAATTCAGCCCAAAAATCGAGGTGTCACTGAGTACATCAGCGTTTAAACTAAAATACAGTCCACTACACTGTTTACAGAAATAAACTGAAATGCGACAAATGATAAAGAAGGAGAGTCAAGGCCTGCGAACGTCGTGCAACTACCTTAATAGTCTCCAAACTCTAAAAAACTCAATCAGCAACCGTCGTTGCGACCGGTATCGCCTGGATTTGCACATGAGGTGTAGGGAGTAACGTGAGTACACCAAATCAGTAAGTAATGAGTCCAAACTTTGGTCTGAAAGGTAGTGACACGGTCAACCACAACAAATATAATAGAAATAAATGTGCAGAAATGTAGGCATGCTTTCAAGTTAAATAGACAGGTCAAATCAATAAAGTAAATACAAATCTAAACATTGTAAGGTATATAACTCAACTATCTCTATATGCCAATGCACATGCTGTATGAAATGTACCACGTGATCCCACTCTCATGTGCTCAACCACTTGACACTGTATATGGCCATTCGTCCCAGGAAAATCCATCCCGGAACATATACAACACTGACTATAAGTCACCTAGTACCGAGGAAAAAAGGCAATCCACCCTGTAGAGAAATCCATTTCCAGGTATTAAGTACTTCGGACAAATCCATGTCTAGGAAAATTCATCCATCAATAGTATCATCCGCGCTCACTAGGGGTGTGTTACAAACCCGGGAGAGGCTACTACAACCAAGCGCTATCATAATCATCAATATAACTGATGCGCGCATGTAGACCGATCCCATAACCATTACTCATAACCAGGCTTTCGGCCTCACTCAGTCATCAACCTCTCCAGTCTCACCCACAGGCTCACAATGTCATGAAAACAACCCAGAACAATGATATGATGAATCAATAAATAACTGAGGCTGATATTTGATATAAAAATGCATGAACATGACTGAGTACAGAATATTAATGAAAATAGTGAGATGACAGCAAGAAACGACCACTAAGAGTTCCAACAATACCGGCATAAAGCCTAAACATGATATCTAGCATGATTTACAGCTCAATTACTTTATCACATGATGGAAACATGGATATCAACATGATAAAGTCACTAAACGGTGCCATGGAATCACCTAGGTCATAATTCTCACGGTGCACATCTGTCACTTGACATGTGCGTCACCTCAATACTAATCACATAACACATAGTTTGGGGTTTCCTCAGAACCAAGTTTGAAAGCGTTACCTACCTCAAACTGACGAAAATCCTACTCCGCAATGCCTTTGCCTCTCTAATCGGGCTCCAACCCGAATCTAGACAGAAGCAATACAATACGATCAAGATAGCTAAAGGAACCGATTCCACAAGAAAATTACCAAATTATAGCAAAAAAATCCGAAATCGGCTCAAACCCGCCTCCGGGCCTACGTTTCGAAATCTGATAAAAGTCACAAAACCCGAAAGCCCATTCACTCGCGAGTATAACCATACTAAATTCAAATCCGACATCACTTGCCCCTCCAAATCCCCAAATTTCACTGTCCAATTCTCAAGCTCTAATCTCCCAAATTTCACCTCAAAAATTCACCAACTAGGTGTAAAATCAGTAAGCAAACACCATTATTGAAGAATAAAAGGCACAAGGAACCTATCTCAGTGATTGCTTCGAAATCCCTCTCAAAATCTCCAAAATCCGAGCTCAAAAATAATGAAAATAGTGAAAAATCTCGAAGTGTTCTATCTATACTTTCTGCCCAGCAAAACCGCACTTGCGGCCACTTTGTCGCTTCTGCGACGCTGCACCTACGGAAATTCCATCACAGGTGCGGATTTCACTTAAAATCCCAGACTTCGCTCCAGCGGCTTCCATACCACATGTGCGGAAGCCCATCGCACCTGCGGCTCCCTCTCGCACCTGCCCCCAGATGTCCGCATCTGCGATTTTTGCAAGTGCGGAAAAATCTCCGCACCTGCGGATCTTGCCTAGTTCGTCCTTGGCTGCTTCTGCGGCTCCTCCTTTGCTTCTTCGGGCTCACACCTGTGGTTTCTACTCCGCATGTGCGGTTACATAAGTAGCAGCAACTCTTCAGCTGCAATTCCTCAACTCAAATCAAGCTGTCAACCACCCGAAATTATCCCAAGGCCCTCGGGACCACAACCAAATATACCAACATGTCCTATAACATCATACGGACTTAGTCAAATCATCAAAACACCTCGAACAACATCAAAAACACATGAACTACACACGGATTCAAGCCTAATGAACTTCGAAACTTCCAAATTCTACAACCGACGCTGAAACCTATAAAATCGCGTCCAATTGACCTCAAAATTTACACACAAGGCAAAACTGACACCACGAACCTACTCCAACTTCCAGAAATCCAATCCGACCCCGATATAAAAAATTTCACCGTCGGCCAAAATTGGCAAAATTCCAACTTTTGTCAAGTGAAGCCTAATTCTACTACGAACTTTCAAATCACATTCCGGATGCGCTCCTAAGTCCAAAGTCACCTAACGGAGCTAACGGAACCATCAAAATTCAAATCCGAGGTTGTTTACATATAAGTCAATATCCGATCAACTTTTCCAACTTAAGCTTTCAAATAAGAGACTAAGTGTCTCATTTCATTCCAAAACCACTTCGGACCCAAACCAACTAACTCGGTAAGTTATAACACAGATGTAGAACACAAAAGAAGCAGAAAATGAGAAAACGAGGCTACAACCCTCGAAACGACCGATCGGATTGTTGCAGAGAATTATTGCTTTATTATAATAAAAACTGTTTTAATAGGGACCTGACAAAATAACTTGCTTAACATAGAAGTTCACTTAATTGTTTTGGAGCTTTTCTTTCTCTAGAATTTTCTTTTCAGAAGTAATGTTTTCATTATGTTGTTGCAATATGGTGAATCCACGTGCTTGCTTTCACCCATATAGGTAATTAAATAAAATGGTGATGTAGTTATATGTTTACTAAGTGATGTTTCTTTAAAGTTCTAAGTTTTCAATTCTAATAGCCAAGTAGGTACGAATCCATAGACAATATTAACCCCACTTTGAGTATTATATTATTTTTTTAAAAATCGATTTACCATGTGATAAAGCTTTGGGGCATTCTAGACTATACGATTTACCGGTATTTGTTTCTCATAAGATGTGACTTGTTGAATGATTAACGCTTTCCAAATTGCCTAACAGCTTTACTAATTGATACTGTACTAATTCATCATGGTTAAGTAATTTTATTAGGTAAAAATATGTATTAGTTTTCTATAATTAAGTGCGATGAGTCTATATTACAGACACATGCATATCATGTAATTATTGATTTGATGTAAACATCTTGTGCAAACAAATTTTAACCGTCGGTAGTAGATCTAGCACCATGCATTCGGTTAGATATCAAGAAAAATCGATTCTGACTTTAAAAGGGACATTTCACATCAGTAATGCACATAGTAAATATTATCTCTTATACCTAAATTACGTTAGGACAGTCCGGCATACAAAGCGTCCTGCATTTATGTAGGGTCCGGAAAGGACCACAATCCAAAGGATGTGATATAGACAGCCTACCTTAATATAACTATTAGTTACTTACACGGCTCGAATCCGTGACCTATATATTAGGAGATACCTTTGCTGTTTCTCCAAGACTCCTCTTCCAAATCTAAATTACTTGCTCAGTTGGTAAAAACACTTTCACCTACGACCGTTAGGTCCTGGGTTCGAGTCACCGTAAAGAGGAAGTGTTGAAACATTATAAATCCTCCAAATTTGGGAGGGGTTTAAAAAAAATTACATTAATTAGTATAATGTGAACCCATCCATATGTTGTTGACTATAATTTACACGTGATTTTAACTTGTTCAATATTATTAAAATCCAAATATCTGATCCATCATCACTATATAAACCATGCTTCTTAGCTCCCACTTCACTTCACTACTCAATAGCCTAACCCATACTCCAAAAAGTCTAAAACCAATTTCAAAAATAACCAAAAATGACTACAGAATCTTTCATTAATAATCCTGAAACTGAGAAACGTTGGCTAATTCAGTGCACCAAATCCTTCAAATTAGACAAAGAAACAGCCATTGATTTCTCTCCATATATTTGTCAAGTTCCCAAAACCATTAAAGAAAGTAAAATCCAATCTTATATCCCTCAAAAAATAGGCCTTGGACCATACCATTGTTTTCGTCCAGAGTTTTTTGTCACTGAAAGACACAAACTAACTATAGCCAAAAATTGCATGGATTTTTCCAAAGTCCAACATTTGATAACTGAGACATTAATATTTTTTGAGCCAATAATTAGAGCACAGTATGATAAGTTCTTGGATATTGATACTCATGCACTATGTTGGATATTGACCATTGATTCTCTCTACTTGCTTCACTTCTTAAATAGTTATATACCATATCAAGAAATAGATTCTGAAGGTCGAAGCTTGGCACAAGAAAAAGGTATGTCGTTTCTTCGATCTGTCGCTCAACTTTTACTTTACTGCACTAAAATTACTAAATAACTTTTTTTTCCTGCAGCGAGAAATTTACCGAAATTTAGTAAGGATCACATATCATAAAAGTCACTAAACTATATTTTTGTAACTTGAGTCGTTCACTTTGCCTAAATACCATAGAAAATGTCTCTCACTACTAGAAAATCGCATTTTTTGACCACTAAAATTGCCTCAAAATAATCGTAGATTTAGATTTTATGATGACTTTCCGACCAAAAAAGAGTAGTCTGACGGAAAAGGGTTTCCGACTACTGTGATCGGAAAGGCGAAATACATAAGTACCCACCAGACCTATGGCTCAAATCCCTCTCACACATTTTTTGTGGACGATAATAATATTACACACGCAACCTCTCTAAAGTGTATCTAGTACACACCATTTTTGGCTTGCGTATTTACACACAAAAAAAGCGCGTGAAATTTGATTTTTTGCTATCAGATTATTTATTAAAGTGCCACGTGTTAAAATTTTATTTAATTTTTTTAATTTTTTTAATTGGGTCACAACCCCTTCGTCCCCAACCCTGCTTATTGTTTTGTTCCAACAATAAACTCACATTCAAACGGTCTAGTAGATCCAAGTAGGAATAAAAGAGTATCAATCTTTGGATTTAACATCTCCACCCGTGTTTTTCTCCAACGCCATGGATTTATCAGCGAAACCCTCTTCATTTTCGTGTTTTTCTGGTCAGCAATGGAGTTTTGCTCGAAAATCCAACCGGTGAAATAGTTTAGATTCTTCTTCAAGCTGAAAAAGAAAGAAAATAATAAAAAATGGGTGTTTCATTTATATGAATCTGACAGTGGCAGAACAAAGAAAATAATAAAAATGGGTGTTTCATTTATATGAATCTGACAGTGGCAGAACAAGGGAGTCTATGGATTTTTTCTTATGGGTTCTCTCTGCCATGGCTGCTAAGGTTTTAGAGGAGGATTCGTTGCATACTTTTGCTATAACTTAACTGATGCAAAATTGATAACCTATTCCAGATATCACCTAAAATAAAATAAAAGAAAATCAGTATTTTCTTAAAGAATGGGAGAAGCAGAGTATTTTACGAGGGGATTTTCCAGTTAATCGGAGAGAAAAGTATGGTGGATATGCGGAGGGGACAATGGGGTGGAAAAGAGAAGAGACATGTGGTGAGGGTGGGGTGGGGGTGTGGGAATTTGTTTATGATTTATTTTTTTTGTTTACTTGAATATTATCAATTGGGATATAAATATATTTTTTCCCCTTGAGTTATGACACGTGTCGCAATTTAATTAGCGCGTGTGATCTGAGAAGAAGTGGTCAAACGTAAAAGTGGTGTGTCTTAGGCACTCTTTGAAAAGGTTGAGTGTGTAATATAATTTTTATCCGCAAAAAATGTGTAACGGGGATTTGAAGACAAGCTCAGATGGTAATCTATGTATTTCGCCGGTCGAAAAGTTTGTCAACTAGTGACTTTCTATGATACCCATCAAATTTTACTTCATTGCACTAAAATTACTAAATAAATTTTTATGTAACAAAAAAATTACCTAACTTTACCCAAGTATTATGTAACATTAAAGTCATTCAACTTTGCTTAAATATCATAGGAAATGTCTATTTTGTTTCTTCCTAGTGACTTTATGTGATACTTGACAAAATTGAGCCGACTTTTTTATTTTCTCAGATATTTACTATTGATTCTCTTTACTTGCTTCCTTTTTTGACACATTAATTCCCAAATCAAGAAATAGATTCTGAACGTCGAAGCTTGGCTCAAGACATCATAATGCTTGAGAATCAAATCCCATGTGTAGTTCTCATTGAAATCCAAATGGCTCTCAATCAACCTTACTCAAAGCTATTTAAAGATTTGTTCTTCAATTTCTGCAAAGCACACTCTCCTCTCCAACTTTCGGAGAAAAGGAAGTTTCGCAGTTTCAAGTTTTGCAAGGCTCTCTCTCCTCATTTGCTGGCTTATATGCATCAATTGATCGTCAATAATCGCGCGATTATTGAAGAGGAGGGAGAAGAATATGATGATTCAAAATGTTATTTTGATGGGTATAATAGGTCTTTTGAAGATCATATTGTTGTGAAAGTAGTGAAAAATATTGCTGGTATTATTCCAGGAGGTGACATTGTTGAGAAACCAATGAGTTTGATGTCCCAATTGCCATGGGACCATATCACTGGACTAATAACAAAGGAAGATGAAAACAAACCGCAAATTGAAGAGATTGAAATACCATCAGTCACAGAACTTGAAGAAATAGCCAAGGTAATGTTCATGAAATGTATGACTATCTTATAGATCTAAAAGTTTAAACTCATACTCCTACTTCTTTTTTTCAATATATGCGTGATGTAATATGTAGGCATGGGAATTAAATTAAAAAAAAGGACTAATAGAACTTGTGTTTTAAATATGCCATGAGATTTTTATGACTATAAAAATATACCACTTAATTAAGGTTAAAACAAAAAGTTTAATGTAAAATTGTCTCAAATACATAAAAGTGTCATTTCATTTCCTAACGGATTAATAACAAGTCCCACATTAAATGAAACAGAGGTAGAAATCAAAGATATCATACTTTTAGTTACTTAATTCCACATGTGGGACTAATTCTTTTTCATTAGCCGTAGAATTTTTTTCCCTATTTTTTGGGTGGTGGTGATTTTGAACCCAGGATCTCTTAACTGATTTGATACTATATATGTTGACTACTATGCGACCATCTCAGTTAGAAGTTAAAATTGAACCCACGACCTCTTACCAGATTTGATATATTACTATGTTTACTAATTTGCGATCATCTCAGCTAAAAATTTAAATTGTCAGACATAGCACCATTTTTACTTAGAGTACCTAATAATTATATTATGTCTGAACAGGTAAAATTCAAGCTCACGGAAGGAGGCATAAGGGATATAAAATTTGTAGAAGAAGGAAGCGAACACACATTTTATCTTCCTCAAATCACACTTAATTCCGATACAGAAGTAATATTAAGAAACTTAGTAGCATACGAAGCAGCTACTGCTAGTCCAGAATCATCCCTCGAGCTAGCTGAATATGTTGACTTCATGTGTGGAATTGTTGATACCACAAAAGATGTTAATATTCTCAAAAAAGCTAATATTATTAAAGATGGAAGTTCTCTAAATGATGAGGAAATTGCTGAATTATTCAATGGGATAACTAAAACAAGTGGGAAATTCAACAAGAAGAAGTCGGATTTAGAGAAGGCTATTGAAACAGTGAATGAGAAATTTGATAATACATTAAGGGTGAAGACTTATAGGTTTATCAAGAAGTATATTTATACTTCTTGGAAGTTTTTAACGTTGTTTTCTACTGTACTGCTTATTTTACTGATTTGTTTGCAAGTGTTTTGCCAAGTTTATGGCTGCAGCAACCGGTGGTTTCGTACTTCTTCTTGATCATTTCACTTTCGTTTTTTTTTGTGTGTGTGTGTGTTTTGGTTTGTTGTTTCGACTGATCAGAAGGAGATGATGCTTGTAATTTTCTGTTTCCTGTCTTTGGCTTGTATAATTAGAGGCGGAGCTAGGATTTGAAGTTTATGGGTTCTGAATTTTCCACGGAACTCATAACTCGTCTTAGTTATTGGGTTCGCAATTAAATATTTATACATAATTAATGAATTTCCTAGTACAAATACATTGTTTAAGCAAAAGTGACTGGATTCGACCAAACCCGCATCTCATAGGCTAGTTCCGCCTCTGTCAGTATAATACTCCTAATTAATAAAATTTTGATCTTCTACGTGTATACAGTATATATATATATATATACATATA